CCTAGAGGCTACTTAGCGTATAAATTATAGTTATTACTAGAGAGAAGATTTATAATAAGTTTGTCTTAGAAACCTTAGCCTTAGCTAGACTACCTTAGTAGAAATCTAGGAGGAGATAGTATAGTTCTGTTTAGTAAGATTCTGTTTAATTATTCTACTTACGTATAAGCTAATACTTTTGCTGTTATATATAGAAAAGCATAGAGATAAGAGAAAACATAAACAGGTGAGAATAAAATTAAGAGTTTGCTACTAGACGGTTTTATTGTGATTTCTTAAAGTGTTGTAGGTTTAAAAGAGATTGTTACCCTTTATATAGCTATGCGTTAATTTAAGGTAAATCTCTATCACAATATAGAGACGGACGGCCTAGTCTTGCTACATGACTTCTATTTTAAGACCCTTACTAATTTTAGTATAAGATTAAATGTTTTCTAATTTTAAAATAAATCTCCTAGTTTGCTATTCTCCTTAGAACTATTAATTGTAGCAAAATAACGTTCTACTTTGTACTTTGCTCTAGAACTTGTAGCGGCATGGATTTATAACATAGTCCCTACAGACACACACAATTATTACGCCGGGTGGCAGAGCCGAAAGGGCTACGACAGCTGTCTACATATACACTTCTAGACTTGTTCCTTTGTCCCCCTGAAGCCTATAAGTAATGTCTCTGTTTCCTGCTTACTCCTCTAAATCTGCCTTCTTACTGCAAATTCCCGTGGTGTAGTTGTATTATTTACACGCCAGCTTCAAGTTACCTCCCCTAGTGTTCAACGTCTTATCTAGGGAATAAGGAACAGTACAATATACATGCAGTACTGTACCCCACCCTATATACGAGCCACCCCTATATCCAAGCCACTATCACCACCACTATCACCACCACTATCACCACCTATTCCTCGGGCTTGCCACCCACCCATATACAACTTTCGGCCTTGCTAGATAATTCAGATGCGCCGGATTCATCCGGACTATCTGTTTAGCCGGCATCCGTATTTTGTGCCCGCCGCATATGCTCTATAGTGGCGAAGGTGCTGTTAGGCAATAAAGGGACCTTTTTCCTCTTGCGTGACCGCTAGTCTTCTAACTAGGCCTTTAATACAGCGACTTACCTTTCTAGAAGGGCCAGTCTAGATGACTGCTCATTATAGCCCTTTTGCACCTTTCTAGATAGGTGACAAATAGTATAGGTATCTAACCTATACTTAGCTAGCTAGCTTAACTAGTGTAATTAATGCCATAAGTCAGCAGACTGATAAGGGGTTAACTATAGGACGATAGATACGGCTTTATCTTACTGTTAGCTGCTAGGCTAGCTGTCTGCTGGCTGGTCTGCTAGCTAGATAATACCTTAGATATTAAGGAGTTAGATAGAGGGCGCCTTATAGTAACTAGCTATAATCTAGCTGCCCTCTAGCTAGCTATAATATTCTAGTCTGTTATTACTAACTTATAAGCCTTAAAATAACACTCTAGAAATGCCTTTTTTCTAGCTATAGTTAAATCTGTTATCTAGTTATCTAGATAACTAACCTTCTTATAATAGGCCTGCTTTAATAGGCTAAAAACAGCTATATCTAGAGGTTAGAGGACAGTAGAGAAGTGTAGCAGTAGAAATAACAGATAGATATAATACTACTAGTATTCCTATATAAAGTTAATAGATATATAGCTTTAATGCCTATTAAGAACTAGTAGTCTAGCTGCCTCTAGCTTACTAAGTATAGTGCCTAGGATAAAGACCTTCTTTAACTATTTAAGGGTAGTTTTCTTAGTTATCTAGCTATTTTCTATATATTTAAAGTGCTATCCTTTATATCTAGATAAGTTAGATAGGAACCACTAGGCCTAAACTAACTTACCTTTATATATAACTAGTAGGTATAAGGACCTTCTATTAGCAGCTACACACTTAATAATAGATACCTATACCTAGGATCCTAGCTGCTTTTTCTAGATATATTATTATACTAAAGAACCTAGCACTAGCCTATTAGCTCCTTTACTCTCTATTATACTAGTTTTATCTATATTCTATTAGTTAGATAAATAGATTCCCTAGATAGCAGAGATACTAGTAAGACAGTAGAAGAAATCCTAGATACCCTTAGGAGAATAGGCTGCCTATCGCTAGGTATCTATTACTATAGATAGCCTGGTTCTAATTAATAGGTTTTGCTACTTAAACTGGCGTATCTACTTTCTCCTTATACGTTACTGCCTATTGCCTATTATACGCTCTGCTAGGCCCTTTACTTGCTAATAGTTAAGGGGTCTGCTAAGGGATTCTTAAAGGTAGATATAGGCAGCTAGGTTATTCTCCTGGGTCTAGGATAGATTTTGCTTATGGATGAAGGCAGCGTTTCTGCTTTGACGCCTATAATAATATTAAAGTGACTAGTATGGTATACCCTATTTCTGAGCAGCCTTGCGAATAGGGTAACCACCCTGCACTTCGGCAAGGGCCTGTTGGAGCTTATCTTTAGTATATTGCTTTATGATGGGTTGAAGAAGGTATTCTGAAAAAATGGCGTTGTTTGGATGTGAATGGATATTGTTATAATAGTTTGAAAAAGGTGATGTTGTTGACAGGTGCGGGATTTTCGGATGGCTTGGATGTGGGGGTGGCTCGTATATAGGGTGAGGTATAGTAGAGCATCCAACGAGGGGGTTGTTGATCGTATGACTGGCCCGGAGCCCACTCGTGGTAGTTAAGGAATGACAGCGCCCCTGGAATGGGGCAAAGCTGGCTGGGTGGGGAACCAATGCCATGATTCAGCTCACTGTTGGGAAAGGAGATGTCTGAACGTTGGCCATCATCTTCGTCGTCGCTGGTGATGTCGTACACCCAATTGTCTGCCGCCATGGTCGCAGGGACTGGTCAGTGCGGACGATGGAAAGACCAAATGCAACGTGGCAACCGTCCAGCGGCAAATGCGTAACTCAGTCGGGACATCTTCTGATTATATAGAAATTTATGTAAAACGCGTAACATGTGTCTTCATGAACTTAAGACTCTACTTTTATATTACATTAATCATTTTTATATACATTAAAAGATTTTTTAATTATAGTTATATAAGAAAATGTTAAAGAGATTAATATATTATCTTTTTAATTATATATTTAATAATACTAAAACCTAGTAATTACTTATTTAATTATATATATATAAGAAAAGTTTAAAGAAAATAAATATATTATTTATTTAATTATATATTTAATAGTGCTAAAACTAAGTTATTACTCTTCTAATAGGCGTAGTGAACTACTCTACCCTAGATACTGCGCAGCCCTATATCCTGCGTATCTATCACTATCTATTGCTACTATTACTACTACTATCACTACTTAGTTCCTCAGGCTTGCTGCCTACTAAAATATAACTTTCGGCTTTTCTAGATAATTCAGACGCGCCGGGTTTATCCGGACTACTGATATTGCCGGTATCTGTGTTTCGCGCCCGCTGGATATAATCTATAGTGGTATATCAACCTATCTATATGTAGTAATAAAAGTTCACTAAAATATTAACTAGATAGAACTAGAAATAGTAAGTTATAACGTTAATATATAGTACCTAATTAAATAGAATGACTGTAGCCTAAAAGATAAAATATAAAAAATAAAGACTAAACTAAGTAATATAAAAGATAAAGTTACTAAATATAAAAATAAATACGTTATATAAAAGAAATATAAGAAAGTAATAGTACCAAAGCTGTTAATATAAGGGAGTAATCAATTAATGAACTAATATTATATAGTAGTCTAAAAAGATGTATAAAAAGTACTATAATTACCTCTCTCTTGTAAGAGAAATCCTAGAATAATCCTAGGCCTTTAATTAGCTAATTTATTTCTAAAGTAGGGCTAATTAACTGCCTATTCCCCGAGCAGTCGCCGCGCATTAATCACGCATTTCCCATGTAACTCCGCCACATTTAACAGCTTCATATACATAATAAAAGCAATTTTTCTTACGGTGTTAAGCTAGGTATAAGGCGCACTGTAAGCCATTAAGTCAGTAACAGGCTATGATCAAACTATAAGTGCATAACAAGCCCCTAAAGAGCATATAGACTTGCCTGTAGACCTATACAGGTAATATATCCTTACACCTGATTATAAGTCGTTAATTATGTTTTCTCGACGGACTTTATTCCTTACTATCTATGTTTTACAGCTGCACCTAGCGCAAGCCAGCAAATCGCAGATTGGGTTTGAATTAGAAAGCTTTGATATGTCCCTCTTTAACTTTCGTTGTTCAGAGGATGACTACTATGCTATGAAAGGCCATCAAGTAGAAGGCCAAAGAGGCCACAACTGGTTCCTCGGTGTGGATGATACGCCAGCCAAGACTTCGAGGTTGAATCCTGAATACGATATCCGTTATGACTTAGGTGATCTGGAAGTGTTGAAAGGCATAAGTGAGGAGATCAAAGAAAGTATGGCAAGTAACAATCGTTTCGTGCAATATAGAGTATGACGCGTTAATTATATTATAGCGTTTCCTTGATTCCGCTAAACAAGTTTGGGTCCAGAATAATCAAGGCAAGAAGGACGTGTGCAACCCTTGGAAGCCCAGACAGCTCCCTTTCATATCCAAATCGCCTGACAAGGCTATATGGAATCTACAAGCTACAGCGCCTCTTATGCTTGAGGGTATACAAGATCTCTTGACTATAGCGGTCAAGAAAGAAAGCAACCCATTAGTAGGGTTTTCTCCTACACCGGATTTAGTTTATATCCAGAAAAGCTGGATAGACTCTAACCAGTTCTTGCGAGAGGCAACTGGTGGTTCGCACTGGGCTACGCAAGACATGCTTGGTTTCCTGTCGCTCGTATCATCGACTATGAGAGCCGCACGAGAGCTTAGTGCACCCTTCTACCAACCAGGCAAGAAATTCATTTACTCGTTAGGGCCTAAAGGCTTGATATGGATCATGCCGCGTCACTACTGGACTTCAGTTTTCAGTCTAGTCAGGGATAAGATGCCTAAGGATGTTAAGCTGTGGGATATTCTTGAACATCTGGCGTGTTATCGAAACACTATGGATGGCCAGCTTCAGTAAGTAGGAAATGCATGAAGCACTTGGAAGAAACACCAGAAGGGAGTTATAAATAATATACTAACTGATAGACGCCTAGGCTAGACAAGAAATTCTGTGACGATACAGGGGACAATAGAAAGCCTAAGCCGAATGGAAAGCTACAAAAGCTGGCTTGGTCGCTTGAGGGCGGAAAAGATCCTTTGACTGTTAAGGAGTGGATTGACAGTATTCAGTCTACATCTACTGGTGGTCCTGACCTCCCAGATGCTCTCAGCGAATGGGATGAAAAGCATTTCGACGGCCAGATCGGTGGCTTTAGTCGGCTTGGGAAGTCTTTTGAGACCGCTCTAGGCTCAGAACGCAAGGTTGCACTCTGGGAGTTTCGCGGATTAGGCGACATTACAGAAAGCCAAATGTCAAAATATCTTGAGGCAATTCAGAGACAGGTTGTAGAGTTCCATAAGAAGTACTCTGAATCACTGCCATATTAATCTGATAAGCCTAATAGATTTAACTATTATGTGGTTTTCTATAACTTGGTGTGAGGATACAAGAATTCAAAACTAGAATAGCAGCTAAGCTTGACTGACGAAAGAGACACAACGTTTCTAGAACAAGATGCATTCAAACCCCATCCGGTATTTTATTTAGTGCAACACACTGAATCCCTAGATGTGATTCTGCTTGAAACTAGGGAAGCATCTCTTGAACCCTAATAAAACATCATAGTAGCTCTTAAGAAAAGGCAAGGAATACGTACATACAAACACGCAGTATCACAAATACGGACCGGTCAATTAAAATATTACAAAGCACTAGGACATCAGTTACTATTTAAAGAATAAATAATAATAAAAAAGCACAATAAAAGGATCTCCTTAGGTTAAAGGGATATTAAAGGGAGGCTTGCTCTAGCTTGTAACTCAAATACCCCCCTTCTGCACCACCCCCACATTTGCACCATCATCACCACCATCATCACCACCATCATCACCACTTATTTCACCATCTCTGCCGCCTACCTATATATAACTTTTGGCCTCGCTAGGCAATTCGGATGCCCCGGATTTATCTAGACTATCTATATTACTAGTATCCAGACTTTAGGCCTAGATTATATCCTCTATAGTAGTAAAGGTGCTATTAGGAGATAGTTAGACCTTTTTCCTCTTATATAACTATATATTATCTAACTAGGCCTATAATAAGTTAACCTGCTTTTCTAGAAGGGCTACCCTATATACCTGCTTATTATACCCCTTTTAGACCTTTTAAGATAAGTAATAAATAGTATAGGTATCTAACCTATCCTAGCTTATCTAGTTAAATAGTTATAATTAATCCTATAGATTAGTAAATCTATAAAGGGTTAACTATTAGATAATAAATATAGCTTTATCTTACTGTTAGCTGCTAGGCTGCTAGCTAGGCTAGCTCTATTAGGCTTTAGTTACTATTAAGTTAGATAAGGGGCGTCTTATATATATAGGCTATAATCTAGCTAACCTCTAGCTACTACTAATATTCTTGCTTATAATAGCTGCCTTATAGGCCTTAAAATAACACTATAGAAATGCCTTTTTACTAGCTATAGTTAAATCTATAACTTAGTTATCTAGATATCTAACCTTTCTATAGTAGGCCTGCTTTAATAGGCTAAAAATAGCTATATCTAGAGGCTAAAGGATAATAGAGGAGTGTAGTAGTAAAAAAAAAAGATATATATAATACTACTAGTATTACTATATAAAATTAATAGTTATATAGCTATAATACCTATTAAGGATTAATAGTCTAGCCTCCTCTAGCTAAGTAAGTGTAGTTAATAGGATAAAGACCTTCTCTAGCTATTTAAGGGTAGTATTATTAGTTATCTAGCTATTATTAAAGTAAGTAAAGTGCTATCCTTTATATCTTAATAGGTTAGATTAGTTAGATAGGAACTACTAGGCCTAGACTAACTTGCCCTTATATATAACTAATAGGTATAAGGATCTCCTATTAGCAGATATACACTTAATAAGAGATATCTATACCTTAGATCCTAGCTGCTTTTTCTAGATATACTATAATTCTAAAGAGCCTATTACTAGCCTATTAGCCCCCCTGCCCTCTATAATACTAGTCTTATCTATATTCTATTAGTTAGATAAATAGATTCCTTAGATAGTAGAGATATTAGTTAGATAATAAAAGAATTCTTTAATAACCCTAGAAGAATAGGCTGCCTATTAGTAGGCATCTATTAATTTAGAGCCTTTAGTTCTAATAGATAGATTTTACTACTAGAATTAGGCTATCTACCTCTTACTAAAAGGAGGATGCCTATTACCTATTATACGCTCTACTAGGCCCTTTACTTGTTAATAATTAAGGGACCTGCCTAGAGAATCTTAAAGGGATATATAGGCAGCTAATATCTCCTCCTGGCTTAGGGATAGTTGCTGTAGATAGGCATAAGCAGTGCCCTTTGATTGCCTACTATGAAGCCGGTGTTAAAGAGTATGGTATGGGATCCCCTATTTACAAGCTGCCTAGCAGACAGAGTAACTACTATTAATATCTAGAAGTGCCTGTTAGAGCTGATCTTTAGTATATTGCTTTATGATAGGTTAAGGAAGGTATACTGAAAATTTGAAGCGATTTGGATAACTATGGGAAATGTTATAATAGTTTAAAGAAAGTGGTGATGTTAATAAAGGAGGAGAGTTTGGGTGGTGCAAAAGCGGGGGTGGTGCAGAAGCGGGGTATTTGAGTTACTAACCTAGCGCCGCTAATATTACATGTTCCTCCATAAGAGATATAATCAGGCCACAAAATTTTCAAGACAACTTTATCCTTAATTCATCATCAGAAATTCGACGTTTTCAGAAGTTCCTCTCCCTAATAGAGTTAAGGGATATATATCCTAATGTTGGAACAGCCCGTCGGAAACCTAATGGGTAAGTGGTAAAGAAGTGGCTGAGGCTACTTTCAGCCACAGCCAGGGATCATAGGGAACTGCCGGCTATTCCTAGCCAACGGCATTATAGGGATTTCACCGTGCTTTAACAGCGAAATCTAAGGCAGTTCGTGTATCACGAACTTCCTCCTGTCAAAGTGTGGCTTAATTGACCGCGGCCCGGATAAACCCTGGCAAGGTCAGTGGGGCAATGTTGCGAACATCGATTAGATAGATTTGCCTACCCAAAAGTGGGGGAATTAATGACGTGAACATTCGCGCGTCCTGGCCCTAGGAAATAGGGAAATAGTTACTGCTTGACCACAATAAATTAGGGTGCACAGTTCGGGGGGGGGGTATTCCAGCTTCGGGGGGGGGGTATCCGGAAAGTAGAGCAAACTTCAGGGGGGGGTGTAAGGGTTATATATACACTATTTATTACATAACTTTACGCAGTACAGTGCCTCTGTAAGGGGCTTAAGTTAAGGGGGGGGTATTAGCTAGCTAGTAGGGCATAAGTTATTTTCTAGTATATATAAGTTATATAAAGGACATTAGTTAAATACGTACTTAGTATATATAAGGTATATACTAGTATATATAAGTTATATATAGAATATTAATTAAATATATACTTAGTATATATAAGGTATATATACTAAAGATATATAATTAAAGGTAGTTAAGGTAGTAGTAAAGAAGGTAGTTAAGAAGGTAGTTAGAGATACTAAAAAAATAGCTTATAAGTTAAGTATTTTAATTAAGAAAAAAAGAAGAAGAAAATAGTTATATAAGTAGAGATAAGCCTAGTATATACTTAGCCTTAGTAGATTATACACTAGGTATATACCTAGTCTTTTTCTAGCTTAATAGACTATATATTAGATAATACTAGTAGTAACTCCTCTAGTATCTCTACTTATTTACTACCTAGATAGTCTTCTCCTTTATCTAATAATAAGAACTAGATAAATAATATAGGATATTATAGTATTAATAAAATTAATACTAAGGAGAGTAAAAAAAGCCTAGCTAGTGCTTAGTATATATTAAGTAGATAGATAAATAATATAAGTTATTTTTAATCCTATTAGTGTTACTTACTAAGTGTAATAAAATAACTACTAGCTTAATAGGTATAACTAAGGTTAGATAATAGCTAATACCTTAGATCTACTGTTTAAGATAGGTTAAATATAGGTATATACTTTATATATACTTTACATATACTTACTATATACTAGCTATATACTAACTTTATTCTAGGAATCTTTTTAGTAATTTAGTATTCTACTTAATTATAAAGAAAAGCATAAGATAATAGTAAGGTCTATTAAAGACTATCTTACCCTCCCTCTTTATCTAAAGACTTTACTTTTTAGTGTTTTTTACTATATTATATTACACTAATAGGCCCTAGATATAGTAAAAGCTACTGTCTAGTAGCTTATTTAATAGCTTTTAGATATAATTTAATACTTAACTAAGTATAAAAAGCGTCTATCTAAGTAGTTATACCTAGTACTAAGGTAATATATTCTTAGAATATCTCTTATATAGTCTAGGCTTATACTAACTATATACTAAGGATAACCTAGATAATAATAAAGTCTAGTACTAATCTCTTTAATATAGTAGTGTTAAACACTATAAATTTACTTACTAGTCCCTTCTTAAGCCTTATAAGCTTTCTAATTAAAGGAAAGTAATTTAAATCTATTAAGCTATAAGGAAAAAGGCTAGGTAGATAGTAATTATCCTAAGTATTATAGAGAATATCTAGAGCTAGACTAAAGCGTATAGTCCCTAAGTGTTTAGTATATACTATATATATACTCTCTATAAGCCTTACTAACTCTTACTAGATACTTTAAGGCTATAAAAAAGCGTTATAACCCTAATAGACTATATTAATAGCTAGGCTAAAATAATAAGTAGGCTGTTAATACTTATAGGGAACAGGCCTTTAAGGTATTTACTATTATAACCTAATAAGTTATAGGCTATATTACCCTACCTAACAGAGGATAATAAGCAGTAGTAGTATTTATATAGACAAGAAATAAGGAACAGATAGATAACTCCTTAAAATAAAAGAACTATAGTATAAGCTATATAACTATAAGTATAAGATAAAATAATAAATAAGCACTTATTTATAAGTAAAATAAGCGCTTAGTAAATACCTAAGTAAGTACTTATTTTACCTTATAACTATTAGTTAAAGGAACTATTTAGGGAATAGTTAGGACTTATATATAGGATAGACTTAGAAGCACTTAAGGACAGACTTCTATAGCTTTTTAGTAATTAACTTATAATATATTCTCTAAATACTTTTTAGTATCTAACCTTAGTAACTTAATTAATAAGAAGCTATATAAGCTACCTTATAACCCTAAGCTTTAACTAATTACTAGGTAATTAATAAAATAATAAAAAAAAAGAATACTATTAACTAAGTACTAACCTCTACTTACTATTAGTAAGAACCTTACTATTTAGAAACTAGCTATAATACTTTAATTACTTTTATTAAGTAAGTTAACC